CCGTCCCTCAGGCCGTCCCTCAAGCGTCCCTCAGTCATCGCCATGACGACCGTGATCCAGGACCCGGACCAAAGTGGGACTCGTCTCTCCAGAAGCTCCTCGCTCGCCCAGCTGTGGATGCCCCGTCTCTCTAATGGGGGGCGTCCAGGTGATGGACCAGAACCAGAACTCAGTCGCTACTGGGTCAACTAGGGATTCTGATAAAAGGCTTTCATAGTTTCAGATCCAGTTAATTTCAGGGTTTGAAATTCATTAAATCACATCTTAATCAGCAAAACTTTAAATTCAAAACCTTTTTACTGCTAATTTATTGAATAAACAGATAAATGAGCTAAAAACAAAACATAGTTTTAATCTTCAGGTGGAAAACCTTTGCTCTCGTATCTCGGATGAAATGCCTCTCACCTTCCTGACGTCAGAGCTTTTCGGTTCGGTGGTCCAGGTAATGATGCGGGACACCGCCAGCCGCGTCTCGCTGGAGTTCACAAAGTCGGTCGGGTCCATCTGGCGACCCAGAGACTCAATGTACTTCAGGATGGCGACCTTGACCTGCAGACGACGGGACATTTAATCCCAGTCCGACGGAGACGCAGCGGCGGGAGACGACTGTGGCTCACCTTGAGGTTGGGGGTCTGGGTCTGGTCCACGATGAAACGCATCAGGATGTTGAACTGCTGGTCGAAGGGGAACGACTCCCTGAAACGCAGCAGACAGAAGCTGAGTTCAGCATTCAGGCAGATGACCTCTGACCCAGAAGGAGCTGACAGGGTCAGAGCGAAGGAAACCCTGAAACCAGCTGGACGGGTCAACGCTGGACATCATCTACAACCATCAGAGCTCGTTTCCTAGGAAACTTGGATGATTTCTCTGCTTTCACTGATCAGAAATGATGTTTGAAGAGAAAATATTCAGAGCAGAATAATTCACACCAGGTAACTGGCAACAGAATCAGATCCAGATCCTGATCCAGGTCCAGGACAAACTCACTCAGTCACCTGGTTTGTAATTGGTGAACCTCAGGGCTGACGACTTGGGCTCCTTCTGGTCCATTTTATCTAGAATTTATCTCGAGTTTCTCCACCGGGGAAAAATAAAGGTTATTTTAAGTCTATTCTGGAACCAGAGAAAACTACACTAACATAAATATGCAGATGATGCTCTGCTTGTTAGAGAGAAAATGATATTTTCAAGCTGTTTGGCACAGGGTCAGGTCACTCAGACCAGCCAGAGCCAGAAAGTCAGAAGGATTTTCTGTTTGGACAGACGAGGAACAACAACTTGACAAATCTGTTATTTGGCCTCTGAGATGGAGCAGATTTTAATTTCCAGGAAGTCCAAAACCGATTCCTGGAAGGCCTAAAACACATGAAGTACAAACAGAGCTAGAATAACAATCCCATTGGTCCAAACTTTCAAACACACAGTGTTGTAGTATTCGAGACCGGTCTTGGCCTTGAGACCACTTTTTGATGGTCTTGGTCTCATCTTGGTCTCGGGTGTTGAGGACTCGGGATTTTATTTCAAGACCAGTCAAAACCACAACTGTGGAAATGTCACTGAACTTGCACCATATTGTCCAGTTTATTTGTTAACATCTTTGTTTTCAGTAGATGGAAAAACTTACCGATTAAAATCCAAGCAATAACGTGACTTACTAATTACGTGTTTCTGTTGTCAAACGCCGCCTCCCCCTTTCACGCGGTGCTCAGATATGCGCAGTGGTTTCCTCTGAGCAGCAGATCTAATTGTCAGTAACAGAACCCCGCTACACAAATCACCAGATATGGCGATATGAAAATTCAGCAGCGCTTCGCTTTCACAAACGGTGCAGCTACGTCTAACTTTTAGCGTCACTTAGAAAATAAGCTCAAAGAAAGGTAAGCTCTGTGAGGCGATGCTAGCAAAGCTAGCTGTACAGGGACAAACTGCATTCAATATGAAAAACGCAGTCAGTCGCTGCACTGCATTATTGTGTGGACGTGTTGACTGACGTGTTGCATATATGGGACAACGCTGTGACCAAAGTCTGCTATACAGCGATATGATGTTCAGGAACAATCCGATTCTTCTGATCGGCTCTTTACTATGAACGACAGACCTGGAGCCTCACTGAGAGCCAATCATTGTTCTTGTAATGCTCTGCAGTAGCTATTATTATTATTTAATTATATAGATTATCGGCCGATAGTTGGATGGAACTGAACCCTTTGAGGGATCCTTCTGGATCAGGATTGTGCGCCCTTCAGTTA